CATACACGCTTATTATGACCCACTTCTCGCATCCAACCTTTACTTTAATCCACATAATTCTTGAATTTACACATTCATATTCTCTTTTCTCCTTCCATAACTGATCATTTAACATTACTGCTACCCCTTCCTTTGCTCTAACTCTCTCAGATACTCCAGTTTAATTTCCCATTTATTTCCCCCACTGAAACTCTCCTACCCCCTTCAGCTTTGTTTCGCTTAGGGCCAGGACATCCAACTTCTTTTCATTCATAACATCAGCAATCATCTGTTTCTTGTCATCCGCACTACATCCACGCACATTTAAGCAACCCAGTTTTATAAAGTTTTTCTTCTTCTCTTTTTTAGTAATTGTATACAGGAGAAGGGGTTACTAGCCCATTGCTCCCGGCATTTTAGTCGCCTCATACGACACGCATGGCTTACGGAGGAAAGATTCTTTTCCACTTCCCCATGGACAATAGAAGAAATAAAAAAGAACAAGAGCTATTTAGAAAAAGGAGAAAAACCTAGATGTATGTATATATATATATGCATGTGCGTGTCTGTGAAGTGTGACCAAAGTGTAAGTAGGAGTAGCAAGATATCCCTGTTATCTTAGCGTGTTTATGAGACAGAAAAAGAAACCAGCAATCCTACCATCATGCAAAACAGTTACAGGTTTTTGTTTCACAGTCATCTGGCAGGACGGTAGTACTTCCCTGGGTGGTTGCTGTCTACCAACCTACTACCTATAATTAGTTGAATTATGATAGATAAATAAGCCATAGAGTTGATATTAGTGTCATATTCTCCAACAATAAACTCACCTCTCCTCTGCCTCAATAAAGGTAAGTGTGATGTTAAATGCTCATTTATACATTTTATTAGTGCTTTACATTTACTTATCATTCTTTTCTGCATGTAAATCTATATTTAAGCTAGGGAAGTGGCTAGGGAAGTTACCCCTGATAAGGACCTGGGACCTAGAATCCTTATGGAGGGGGATTCCTCTTTTAAATAATAACTTCTCTTCCCTCTCCCCTCCTCCCTGTCTTCCATCCATCAACAACAGCCTTCAATAAAGGTAACTGTCATATTGAATGTTTATTCTTTTGTGCATGTAAATCTATCTTTAAGGTAAAAAAAAAATTTTGTTGATACTTCTGGGTATCTGGAACGAATTAATTTGATTTGCATTATTTCTTATGGAGAAAATGGTTTCGCAAATTGTCAGTTTCGATAATAGTCACACTCTCTGGAATAGATTAATTACGAAAAACGAAAGACCATTGTACAGTGAGAACAATGCTAGTGCACTGTTCTCACTGGAGGTAATTGTGTAATTATCTTTAGATCTTCTACAAAAATATAAAGTTGCTAAGCTTTTGACATTTGCAAAATATCTTGCCCTTTACTCCCACACAAATCCCAAAATATTTGGAATATTTCCCATATTCCACAAGCAAACTGTAGAACAATCATTTTATTATGATCCCTGTCAATATTACTGCATTTAGTTCAATAATAAATGGTGGGTTTCATGAAATAAGTCAATAACTTACTTCCAAGATATTCATCGGGAATGTGGGCTGGCCTCCCGTGATCTAGTGGAGTTAGCCTCTCAAAAACTTCATTTTCTCTTACCCAGGACCAGAGAACATGTTATAGGAAGGAGCAGTAATGATTTTATTTTATCGGACTGGTCCTGGGCACTCACCATATTATGACCTATTTTATTAATTCTAGAGTATACATCATGTTTCTATGTTACTTATAGTGGTTATTATGTCTGATAGATAAATAAGCCGAAGAGTTGATATTAGCGTAATGTTGAAGTACAGTGGAACCTTGACTTACGAGTTTAATCTGTTCCGTGACCTACCTCGTAACTCAATTTACTCATATATCAAATCAATTTTCCTCATTTAAATTAGTTGAAAAGCCATTAATCCATTCCTGCAGTCTGGAGACAAGACAAAATACTTGAATATGACACTAATATCAACTGTACGGCTTATTTATCTAACACAATTCATCTAATATGACATAATTAACAATATAATTAACACAGAAACATGATATATACTCTAGAATGAATAAAATAGGCCATTATATGGTGGGAGAGGCAGTGGCGGAAGCGTCCGCCATTTCCTGTCTAACTTTGACTATAGTATCTTCCCATGCTCTTATTGTAAGAGAAAACAGAGTATTTGTGAGGCTAACTGCAGAAATACTGTATTGTATATAAAAACATAATAAATCATAATACACTACAGAATGTAAAGAAATGTTAAACTGTTTATATAAAGTGTGTATGTACTTACACACTTGGAGCAGAGATGGTGGGGGAGGTTGAGGATGGGGAAGGTTGTGGGTGGGGGCACACTTGGAGCAGAGATGGTGGGGGAGGTTGTGGGTGGGGAAAGTTGAGGCTGCGGTGTATGATGTCAGTGGCCCTGTAAACCTCCAACAACAACAATGTTTTGTTTGATCGCTGAACTTAACTGATACAATTTGTTTTGTTTAATCACTGAACATAACTGATACAGCTTCAGTATCTACATATCATAGATGTACTAAGCTGGTATTGCCTGGCTAAGTCCATGAAAATCATTGTCTTTTTCTTCTCAGCACTGTCCTTTGCACTTATTTTCTTAGGACCCATGGTTAGAAAAAAAAAGAAATGACTGTAAAAAAAATGCAAGCAAGCATGAGAGAACTACTCCTACAGCGATGTAAATGTGTGAACTGCTTACCGGATGTTTTGGCATCAGCTATGCCAACTAGTGCCGGCATTCTGAATTATTATTACATACGTATTATTATTATTAATTTAGGGAACTGAAGCTCTATCATTATAATAATAATAAAATAATAATAATAAATAATAATAATAATAATAATAATATAATAATAATAATAATAATAATAATAATAATAATAATCCTAGGTAGTAGGTTGGTAGACAGCAACCGTCCAGGGAGGTACTACCGCCCTGCCAAGTGAGTGTAAAACGGAAGCCTGTAATTGTTTTACATGATGGTAGGATTGCTGGTGTCTTTTGTCTGTCTCATAAATATGCAAGATTACAGGTAAGTCTTGCTACTTCTACTTACACTTAGGTCACACTAAACATACATGTACAAGCATATATATACACACCCCTCTGGGTTTTCTTCTATTTTCTTTCTAATTCTTGTTCTTGTTTATTTCCTCTTATCTCCATGGGGAAGTGGAACAGAATTCTTCCTCTGTAAGCCATGCGTGTCGTAAGAGGCGACTAAAATGCCGGGAGCAAGGGGCTAGTAACCCCTTCTCCTGTATATATTACTAAATTTAAAAGGAGAAACTTCAGTTTTTTCTTTTGGGCCACCCCACCTCAGTGGGATACGGCTGGTACGTTGAAAGAAGAAGGATTGCTGGTGTCCATTTTTCTGTCTCATAAACATGCAAGATTTCAGGTATGTCTTGCTACTTCTACTTACACTTAGGTCACACTACACATACATGTACAAGCATATATATACACACCCCTCTGGGTTTCCTAATATTTTCTTACTAGTTCTTGTTCTTGTTGTTTATTTCCTTACCTCCATGGGGAAGTGGAACAGAATTCTTCCTCCGTAAGCCATGCGTGTTGTAGGAGGCAACTAAAATGCCGGGAGCAAGGGGCTAGTAACCTCTTCTCCTGTATATATTACTAAATGTAAAAGGAGAAACTTTCGTTTTTCCTTTTGGGCCACCCCGCCTCGGTGGGATACGGCCGGTGTGTTGAAAGAAAGAAAGAATAATAATAATAATAATAATTACTATTATTATTATTAATTTAGGGAATTGAAGCTCTATCGTTATAAAAATAATAATAATATTTATAGGTAGTAGGTTGGAAGACAGCAACCGCCCAGGGAGGTACTACCGTCCTGCCAAGTGAGTGTAAAACGAAAGCCTGTAATTGTTTTACATGATGGTAGGATTGCTGGTGTCTTTTTTTCTGTCTCATGAACATGCAAGATTTCAGGTATGTCTTGCTACTTCTACTTACACTTAGGTCACACTACACATACGTGTATAAGCATACATATATGGACACACCCCTCTGGGTTTTCTGCTATTTTCTTTCTAGTTCTTGTTCTTGTTTATTTCCTCTTATCTCCATGGGGAAGTGGAACAGAATTCTTCCTCCATAAGCCAGGCATGTTGTAAGAGGCGACTAAAATGCCGGGAGCAAGGGGCTAGTAACCCCTTCTCCTGTATATATTACTAAATGTACAAGGAGAAGCTTTCGTTTTTCCTTTTGGGCCACCCCGCCTCAGTGGGATATGGCTGGTGTGTTGAAAGAAAGAATAATAATAATATTCTTCTTCTTTCTTTCAACACACCGGCCGTATCCCACCAAGGCGGGGTGGCTCAAAAGGAAAAGCAAAAGTTTCTCCTTTCAAATTTAGTAATATATACAGGAGAAGGGGTTACTAGCCCCTTGCTCCCGGCATTTTAGTTGCCTCTTACAACACGCATGGCTTATGGAGGAAGAATTCTGTTCCACTTCCCCATGGAGATAAGAGGAAATAAACAAGAACAAGAACTAGAAAGAAAATAGAAGAAAACCCAGAGGGGTATGTATATATACGCTTGTACATGTATGTGTAGTGTGACCTAAGTGTAAGTAGAAGTAGCAAGACGTACCTGAAATCTTGCATGTTCATGAGACAGAAAAAAGGACACCAGCAATCCTACCATCATATAAAACAATTACAGGCTTTCGTTTTACACTCACTTGGCAGGACGGTGGTACCTCCCTGGGCGGTTGCTGTTTACCAACCTACTACCTAGGAATATTATTATTATTATTATTAATTTAGGTAACTGGAGCACATGGCATATGAATTCATTTCAATGAGGAAAACTGATTTGATATATGAGCAAATTGAGTTACAAGCTTGGTCAAGGAATGAATTAAATTTGTAAGTCAAAGTACCACTGTATTATTTGTTTAGTGAACAAAATAACTAAAATCCTACCTTTCTAAGTTTATCTTCTGAGTTACACAAAAACTCCTTCAGCACTGCCAGAGCAGCATGTCCTTCTGCACTTCGCATATCCCGATAACGATCATGTTCTTTCTTAGCTTGCTCCATCCCTTTTTCTAATTCATTCACATCAGTGATAATATTCTCCAAGGATACTGAAATATAAAGAAATTTTAAATATTTTTTAAACATTCCACATATTCTCACATAAAATTTTCAAGAATAATCTTGCTTTATTTCACTTAGCTTTTACATCTTCTAATTAGTAAACACAGGCACACATCTCACTCATATGGGCTTTATGCACGGACTCCCACACCATATACATAATACAGTAATAGACAATAGGAACTGAAGTGGTATATGCCAAGTCAATACCAGCCAAGTGAAACGAATGACACTGGATACCTTTATTAACGACAATGTTGCAGGCATGTACTGTAGGTGCTTTATCAAGTCACTGAGTTGACAAAGTTCCTGCATGGCCAAAATGTTCTGCATCTTAAGTCTCATTTACTTCACCAGCAGTAAACAACAGCTGTGTTGTAGATGCTGACAAATTCATATTCTTCCTGCTGGAGATCATAGATGCAGGAAGCATCAGTGATCTCCAGATTAGTGAAGAGAAGGTGACATCAACTGTTGCCACATATCTAGGGTAATGATCTGGAATATGTCCTTAGCATGAGTGTATTAGCTAAGCATAACACTGAAAACCCCACAGACATATGTCTGTGAAACAAGCTCATTTAGCTGTTACCATAAATGCCCAAATCCAAGGCAAAATAATGAGAGAATAAATACAGTACAGCAGGGCCCCACTTTACGGCATTCTGCTAATACAGTCATCTACATGCCTATGAAAATGACTAAGAGAGGACATGCCAAATGCTCTCAGGCACATGAATCACCAGTTTATAGCTATATCAGTCTTGGAAAAACGATGGCAGGTTATAACTGCTTCTGAGAAAACACAAATGATGATGGTCTCTAGGCACCATGATGGTAATGCTGAAGCAGTGGTAAGAATGAATGGGAGTGTGTTGGAACCCAGGGATGAGGTGGCTAACAGAAGGGTGAAATCTGACTCCAAACTGTATATGAACAACAACATAGTAAATCTTGCAAGCAAGGCAGCCAAGAAGCTAACAGCACTAAGGCATATCTCATACCTATTCAACAGCAGAAGCTTCAAAAATCTGTACAAGGCACAAGTGCACTCACACCTTGAGAATGTTCCACTTTCTTGGATTGCCTGCCCCCTGTCTCATCTACAACTTGTGGACAGAATAGAGAAAAGAGCAAGACAACTTCTCTCTTGCCTGGACCTGACCTGGATATATACATCATTTCAGCAGAGCCTTCAAAAGAGGAAAGATGTGGGTGGTCTTACTTTTATGTACAAGGCCAAGGCCACTTGGCTCCACTTCACAGACAGCAAGACAGCTTCTATAAAACAAGATGGGCAACAAACAGCAACTACATTCTGGCTGCACACTTCTCAAGAACATCACTTCATCTGAGATCATATATTTTTAGACTGACTCAAATCTGGAGCATGTTCGTACAACATAACATAAATGAAATAAAGTAAGTCGACCAAATGAAATTGCTGGCCCACAGCTGGCTCTAACTTCATCCTGTTCCAGTATATGTATGCCTCATAACAATAAAAAGGCTTTCAAATGAGCTGAGGTAGGGAACAGCATTTAGTTCGTAAATAAAGGTAGGAATTCAAATCTAACTCTGCAAAAGTCCTTGCATAAATAAAAAGAGAGAGGAGAGAAAGTAAGGGAGAGAAATAAAAATCTAACCGTTACAATACAGATAATGTCAGTGAATAATAACGAGTTTACTCACCTTGTGCAGCCTTCTCAATAAATCTCAGCTCAGATTCAAAGTTATTGAGATCAGCAAACTTAAGGCGTATGGTGTCTTGGATATAGTGCAACAAGCTCATCTTCTTGTCTGCTGACTTGGTGTCACATAAAGTATCAAGACTTGAAAGTTTAAATCCATATGCAGGTCCTCGTTTGCTGCTATTCATGTAGTTACCTGTCAAAACGATAATATTTATTTGGAGGGGCATTTGAAATGCAGTGTCTACACACTCTTGGCAAGAAGGCTATTAAATGAGTGATGGTGAACACATTTCCTACTTTGGTTCATCCTGCTGTGCTGGGAAACTTACTTTGATAAAGAAATAATGTGCCAATAATAAAAATGGCATATTGTGAAATTTAATTAGTTTATTGATGCTGATTAGTTATTTTGTGTTACTTTATGGAATTTATCAGTCAAGTTAGATTTAGTGAGGTTTTTGTTAATCAACTTTATAAATGAAAAAATCAAGAAAGGAACTAAAAATCAGACTACATATAGTATTTACAAACAACATAGAGTTTTTAATACTTGATGTGCTGTTGGAGTGTGAGCAAAGTAACATTTATGAAAGGATTCAGGGAAACTGGCAGGCTGGACTTGAGTCCTGGAGATGAGAAATATAGTGTCTGCACTCTCAAGGAGGGGTGTTACTGCTGCAGTTTTATAACTGTAGTGTAAAGCACCCCTCTGGCAAGACAGTGATAGAGTGAATGATGATGAAAGTTTTTCTTTTTAGGCCCACCCTGCCTTGGTGGGAATCAGCCGATGTGTTAATAAAAAAAAATAAAAAATGAAGTAAGAAATTATGCAGTACAGTGGAACCCCAATTTTCATCCTTAATCTGTTCCAGAAGGTTGGTTGAAATCCAAAATGGATGAAAACCAAAGTAATATTTCCCATAAGAAATAATGTGAATCCAATTAATCTGTTTCAGACACCCAAAAGTATTAACAAAATATACATTTTATAGAGAATAACTATAGTTTTACATACAGAAAACAATGAGAAATAAATATAAAGGACTAATGAAATGGATAAATTAGCATTTAAATCACTTTTACCTTTATCGAAGAGTCTTGTTGGCATACAGAAGACAGTGAGGAGGGGAGAGGGAGGGGAGAGGGAGGAGAGTTTATTGTTTGGAGACAGGACAAAATACTTGAATATGACGCTAATATAAACTCTACGGTTTATTTATCTATAACAATTCATCTAATATGACATAATAAACAATATTAATAACACAGAAACATGATGTATACTCTAGAATGAATAAATTATGTCATTACGTATGTGATTAGTGGTGGCTACGGCAGCTGCCATTCTCTCTCCTGCTGTGACTACACATCTTCCCATTATTATAAGAGAAAAGGCTGGGCAATGAGAGAAAAGGAACAAAAGTTCCTTCATAAATAGAGATAGAAACTTGAAGTTTCCAATTAGATCTAGTGGATGCCCTTGCCAAGCCCAAGCAGAGAGGGATGCCCACACTCCCACCTGAGTTCAGTAACCGGCTTCCCACCAAAGACCATTAAAGAACAAGGCCTTACCTATAAGGCTTATGTAATGGAGGATACTGAAATGATCTTTCCAAAACTCTCTTAGGGTCAAGTGAGTGTCTGGGGTCACATTTAAACATCTCTGAAACATTGCTTTGGTGTAGAGTTTTTTAAAGTTTGAAATGATCTGCTGGTCCATGGGCTAAAGGAGAGGAGTGGTATTAGGGGGCAAGAACTTTACTGTGATGAACCCATACTCCTCCAGAATTAGGTCATCCATGTTTGGAGGATGAGCAGGTGCATTGTCCATTAGCAGGAGGCACTTGAGATCCAATTTCTTTTCCAAGAGGTAATTCTTCACACTGGGGCCAAACACTTCATTGAACCACTCAATGAAAATTTCCTACGTGACCCATGCCTTATTATTAGCTTTCCAATACACACACAATTTACTCTTCATAACATTGTTTTTCTTGAACGCTTTGGGATTTTCAGAAAGGTACACCAGTTACGGCTTCACTTTGAAATCCCCACTAGCATTACTACAAAACATGAGTATTACCCTGTCTTTCATAGGCTTGTGTCCTGGCAGTCCCTTTTCCTCCTGAGTAATGTAGGTCCTCTTTGGCATTTTCTTCCAAAAGAGGCCTCTTTCGTCACAACTGAACACTTTTTCAGGTTTTAATTGTTCTGTCTGTATGTACTCCTTGAATTCACTTACAAATTTTGTAGCTGCAATTTTGTCCGAACTGGCAGCCTCGCCATACCTCATCACACTGTGTATGCCACTACGGTTCTTAACCCCTTCAGGGTCCAAGGCCCAAATCTGAAGTGGTGCCCCAGTGTCCAAGAATTTAAAAAAAAAAAAAAATTTATTTTTTCTTATGAAATGGTAGAGAATCTTTTTGTGAAGGTAATAAAACAAAAAGTACGAAATTTGATGGAAAACTGACGAAATTATGCTCTCGCGAATTTTGATGTGTCAGCGATATTTACGAATCGGCAATTTTGCCGAATTTGACTCCCAGTTTAGGCCAATTACATTATTCCAGTCAACCAAATTCTTAGCTATTTCACTAGTATTACTTCTATTCTATCGATTGAGCACAAGAAATCGCCAAGTCAACTGTTTCAACTACAAAATAAAGTGATCGGAAATTGTTAATTTGGCCAGTTTAACACAAAGTTCAAAATATTCCAATTTCAAAATGGGGTCCAGAATAAACAATGTAGGTATTCCTGGAACTAAACTAATGTTTCCTCTGTTCATTAGTTACGTTTTGAGGCTTTACAAATAAATTCCATTTTGATTTTTTATTCACATAATGAATTTTTATTCACACCAAAAAATAGAAGATTTACTGTTATGCAATACTGTAATAAGTGTATAAATATCATCACCATATTTGTGAATGTATATTAGACCCACCAGCTGGTGTGTATTAGATGTGCGAGGTCGTTTGTTTACTCTTGAATATCGGCAAAAAATTTAACATTTCCTCTACTTTGAGCTCAGTTTCAAGCCATTTCCAGTGCTAAAACCAATCAAAATCATCTCTATTTCTGTAATATGTCTTCCCTTCTATCAAATGAGACCAAGAAATCACAAATACAACTATAAAAAACATACGAAAAAACACTGTAAAGTCGCTGTTTTAATCGAAAAATCATGATTTCAGTTTTTTCTCTCATTATACACAGTGTGCTGCAGAATCTGTTTTATGTGGTGCACACATACCACATAGATGTATTCTCTCATATCTAGGCCAAAATGTACCACTCACAGTTTATCAGAGTGAGCTGAGCTCATGACGTAGATCTACGGTTTGGACCCTGAACGTAAAGCCGTAGATCTACGGGACGGACCCTGAAAGGGTTAAATCTCTCAAACCAGCCTTTGCTGGCCTTAAATTCACAAATATCAGCACTTGTTACAGGCAATTTCTTTACAAGATTGTCATGCAACTGCCTAGCCTTTTCACAAATAAGCAACTGCATAAGACTATCTCCTGCTAATTGTTTCTCATTTATCCACACCAATAATAACTTCTCAACATCTTCGAGTATTGGTGATCTCATTTTTGTATCTGAGAGAGTTAGAGCAAAGGAAGGGGTAGCAGTAATGTTAAATGATCAGTTATGGAAGGAGAAAAGAGAATATGAATGTGTAAATTCAAGAATTATGTGGATTAAAGTAAAGGTTGGATGCGAGAAGTGGGTCATAACAAGCGTGTATGCACCTGGAGTAGAGAGGAATGCAGAGGAGAGAGAGAGATATTTTGGGAGATGTTAAGTGAATGTATAGGAGCCTTTGAACCAAGTGAGAGAGTAATTGTGGTAGGGGACCTGAATGCTAAAGTAGGAGAAACTTTTAGAGAGGGTGTGGTAGGTAAGTTTGGGGTGCCAGGTGTAAATGATAATGGGAGCCCTTTGATTGAACTTTGTATAGAAAGGGGTTTAGTTATAGGTAATACATATTTTAAGAAAAAGAGGATAAATAAGTATACAAGATATGATGTAGGGCGAAATGACAGTAGTTTGTTGGATTATGTATTGGTAGATAAAAGACTGTTGAGTAGACTTCAGGATGTACATGTTTATAGAGGGGCCACAGATATATCAGATCACTTTCTAGTTGTAGCTACACTGAGAGTAAAAGGTAGATGGGATACAAGGAGAATAGAAGCATCAGGGAAGAGAGAGGTGAAGGTTTATAAAACTAAAAGAGGAGGCAGTTAGGGTAAGATATAAACAGCTATTGGAGGATAGATGGGCTAATGAGAGCATAGGCAATGGGGTCGAAGAGGTAATGGGGTAGGTTTAAAAATGTAGTGTTAGTGTGTTCAGCAGAAGTTTGTGGTTACAGGAAAGTGGGTGCAGGAGGGAAGAGGAGCGATTGGTGGAATGATGATGTAAAGAGAGTAGTAAGGGAGAAAAAGTTAGCATATGAGAAGTTTTTACAAAGTAGAAGTGATGCGAGGAGGGAAGAGTATATGGAGAAAAAGAGAGGTTAAGAGAGTGGTGAAGCAATGTAAAAAGAGAGCAAATGAGAGAGTGGGTGAGATGTTATCAACAAATTTTGTTGAAAATAAGAAAAAGTTTTGGAGTGAGATTAACAAGTTAAGAAAGCCTAAAGAACAAATGGATTTGTCAGTTAAAAATATGAGAGGAGAGTTATTAAATGGAGAGTTAGAGGTATTGGGAAGATGGAGGGAATATTTTGAGGAATTGTTAAATGTTGATGAAGATAGGGAAGCTGTGATTTCGTGTATAGGGCAAGGAGGAATAACATCTTGTAGGAGTGAGGAAGAGCCAGTTGTGAGTGTGGGGGAAGTTCGTGAGGCAATAGGTAAAATGAAAGGGGGTAAGGCAGCCGGGATTGATGGGATAAAGATAGAAATGTTAAAAGCAGGTGGGGATATAGTTTTGGAGTGGTTGGTGCAATTATTTAATAAATGTATGGAAGAGGGTAAGGTACCTAGGGATTGGCAGAGAGCATGCATAGTTCCTTTGTATAAAGGCAAAGGGGATAAAAGAGAGTGCAAAAATTATAGGGGGATAAGTCTGTTGAGTATACCTGGTAAAGTGTACGGTAGAGTTATAATTGAAAGAATTAAGAGTAAGACGGAGAATAGGATAGCAGATGAACAAGGAGGCTTTAGGAAAGGTAGG